GGTCGTGCGGTGGGGTCGTGCATTTCGCTCGAGACATCCTGCCAAAATCCTGCCAAAATTCCAGGAAATCGTACAAAAACAAACGAATTAGTCGAGACATCATCGAATTTCCTTCGCGCGGGGCGCTTTTCCGCGTCGCGGTCGGCTCTGCAAAACCAGCGTTTCGCTTGAGACATCCTCAGCAAATTCTGAAAACAAGCGTTTCGCTAGAGACATCCTCAACTCTGCAAAACCAGCGTTTCGCTCGAGACATCCTCAAGAAATTCTGAAAAACAAGCGTTTCGCTCGAGACATCCTCAAATTTTAATTCGCCGGCCTCCTTCGACCTCGTTATTTATCAGGGAAAAAATTCGCCGGCCTCCCTCAAGTTGGCACCGGGGGACAGGTTTACCCACTAAAAGAGAACCCTGGGCCCACGCCCTTTCCGGGAAAAAACACTGCGTTTGTTGGTCCGCGCGCAGTGAGCACCCGAGTCAATCCTCCACCCAACTGGCGATTGTATTGTATCGTCCAGCAGTCAGCAGCGCGGTCCAGCCCCTGCCCTCGTAGTTGGCCCACAAAAGAGCGGTGACACACCCGTTGCAGTAAATCTGCCGCAGGAGAAACTTTCTCGGCAGCCTGGCCCTGCCGAACATAGCTCGCGGAATTGCGTCACGAAGCGGTCAGCTGCCAACACCGCCTCGTTGCCGTCTGCCAGGCCGTGTACTACCAGGTGCGAAAGAGGGTCTTCGCGGTCCACCCAGGGGGCAGCGGAGCCCGAGCATCGTAGAGTTAGTTTTCGGAAAAAGGGGCGGATCGCGGCGAGCGCTGCGTTGCCAGGTCGGCCACCCAAGCCGCCGTCTTGCCGTCGTTGAGGATGAGCCTGGCAGCAGCGAGGCCCTTCGCCACCGCGTCCAGTTCCTGCTCGGCGACTGCGGCGGGCAAGACAAACATGACGGCGTCAAGGTCGGAGAGCGCGCGAGCCGTCGACGCCAGCTGGCGCAACGGGGCGTCAAGAGCCACTATTGGCCAAACGAGGGCTAAGGCGAAGTAGCCGGGGGGGCTCTCACCTGTTCGACACCCCGCGTGGCTCTCACCTCCAGGGCGGTGGTGCGGCGGTGGTGCCTACCTCCCACCAGAGCTACGTTGTGGGGCGACAGAGCCAGCTCGAGGGCGGGCCCAGCAGAGCTCTGAGGCGCGAGTGGCCGCCCCGTCGAGAATCTTCTCTCTGGGAGCCGCGTTGAAGGCATTAGTAGCATTGACCGCCAGGACCACGTCAATCGGCGCCTCCGCCGTGAGAGCCGTGATCGCCTTCCCAGAGGAGCCTTTTCTCGCAAAAGGCGAGAAAGCGCAAAAAGTGAGAAATTTCTTGTTTCAGCAACAAAAAATAAGAATTCTCGGTTTTTCTAGATTTGGCACAACGTAGCACAATTTTATACATGTGATATTATATTTCGGAACACCAACACGAACAACATCAACACTTTATAAGGGGGATACACTCACAACGGAGAGCACTCATACGCATTTAGCCCGTCGGGCTGGCGGTATTTCGCGTTGTTGGAGGTATTTCGTATTTGGGCGCGTTCGATTTCTTCTCCTCCTCCTCCTCCTCCTCCTCCTCCTCCTCCTCTCCTCCTCCTTTTTCTCCTCCTCCTCCTCCTCCTCTTCACTTCTCTTCTCTTCTCTTCTCCTCCTCCTCCTCCTCCTCCTCCTCCTCCTCCTGCTCCGCCCGCCGCGGAGCCTCGTGTGGAGCGAGCTACGCCGTAGCGGCACGGCCTCCCCGAGCGGGCCACCCGTGGCCCCGATTCGCGGCGCTGCGCAATGACGAGCCAGGCGCGCGTCCTCGTCGTTGTCGTCGTCCTCGTGTTCCTTTCCTCCACCCCTCCTCCTCCTCCTCCTACTCCTCCTCCTCCTCCCCCTCCTCCTCCTCCTCCGCCTGTTACCCGCAGGCATCGGCGGCGGCGCCCCCGCTGGGCACTGACGGCGAGCAGACCAGGATTGACACTCAGGACCGCAGGGGTCTACCATACCACCTCGCACTTGTTTGAGAGATAGGGTGGAGAGGTATCGTCGCCTCGCCGCCATCTCTCAGACGAGTGCGAGGTGGTATGGTGGACCTCTGACTCGAAGGAGTTCCTAAACGGCACGACGCAGTTCGACTGGGACGAGGTGCAGGGCGTCATCCCCATCGACTCGTCGTCGGACTCGGCGGAGGAGGAGGGGGAGGACGACGACGAGGAGGACGAGGAGGAGGAGGGGGAGGAGAGGGGAGGAGGAGGAGGAGGAAGAGGAGGAGGAGGAGGAGGGAGGAAGAGAAGGGAGGAGGGCGGAGGGAGGACGAGGAGGAACGACAAAAAAAAGCCGAGGACAGCCCTGGCGGCCGAACCGTACCTGGTAATCCAGAGGCAGCTGGGGCAGCAGAGGCAGGAGCTGAGGCAGCTGGGGGAGCAGCTGAGGAAGCTGGTCCAGCTGCTGAACCAGCGAAGGACAGCGGCTTCTGCTCTCTAGTTGCTGCTTCTGGTCCTCACCCGATCCCTCAAACGCATCCTCATCACCCCATTCCTTTTCATATCCTCTTGATCCTCTCGATCCTCCACTTAACGCCTCCCTCTCATCCCCGATCGTCTTTATTCTTACTCCTCCCCCTTTCATCCCTCCCGCTCCTCCCCCTTCCAACTCCGCATTCCTCTCGCGTCTCACTCCCTCGTTCCTTTTTTCGTCCTCCCTCCCCTCGTCCTACGGGGGGGGGCATGCAAAGAAACGCGTTGTTTCCTTTTCGGGGTACCTTGGGTTTCTTGGGTTGCGATTGCTTCTCCGACGGAACCCTCGCATGCCACAAATTAGTGAACCTCTTGGGGTCTCATTGCTTTTCTTGTGGAAGGTTTCTTGTGGCCAAGCTCTTGCCAACCCACGACCCTCCTCATCCAATTCCTCCGTCCACGTCCGTGGCCATCCGTAGCCATACTGGCTTGCAGCGCGAGTCTTGGTCGCACCCGAGATGGCGCCGACGGAGCCGCTCAAGAAGGCACTGATCCCATATGCCACGAAAGTTTCGTTCTGCAGATACAACCACGACGGTGGCATCCAGCGGAGAAAGATCGAGAGCCAGGCGACGATGCTCATCAGCATCTCCAAGGCTCTCCCCTATTAGTCTACAGTAGAGAACTATATACGCCACGCCACCTACCCGCCACCTACCCGCCACCTACCCGCCATCTACCCGTCACCTACCCGCCACCTACCCGCCACATACCAGACACCTCCTCCTCCCCGTCCTCCCCCTCCTCCCCCTTCTCCTCCTCCTCCTACTCCTACTCCCCCTCCTCCCCCTCCTCCTCCCCCTCCTCCTCCTCCTCCCCCTCCGCTCCCGAGCAACCGGTTCCAATTATCCCCCTCCTTCTCCGGGAGGAAGAGAGGAAAAGGGAGAAGAGGAGGGGGAGGAGGAGGAGGGTAATCGCTAGTTCCTTGCGTACAGGCTGTCCCCTCGCTGAGCATCAGCAAGAAGACGTGGGAGACCACCTTGACGCGTCTCGCGGAGTCGGCGGTTTTTTTCGACTCCCAAGTGGAACAGGACGACTGGGTCAATGAGATGACCAAGCGCTTCCGCAAGATCGTTCGCCACGTGAAGATCTATCGGACGAAGCAGGCGGTCCAGAAGGCGCCTGCGTGGTTCACCGAGCTTGGCTTCGACCCGCCTCCGCCTGCAGTGCAAAAACGCCCTGCGGCAGCAAAGGGCGACGAGGAGGAGGGGGACTACGACGACGAGGAAGAAGAAGAAGAGTCGGACGCTGACGACGAGGAGGAAGTAGATGAGGCTGCCGATTCCCAGGCTTCGAAGGCTTCGTCGCTGCCTCCGCTGCAGTCGCCGCCGAAGGCCCCCCAAAAGATGCCCGACATTGAGCCCGACGATCATAACTACGTGTACGGCTTCGACCCGCAGCTTGGCGCAACTTTTCGCTATCAAGCAGATAAAAAGCCGTCGACCCACGCTGAGTGGTGCATTGCCATGGAAGTGCCAGAGAACGCATCAGACACCGACCCGATGAACGCCCGCTTCCAAGATGGCTCTGTGAAAGCGATCTTCTCGATCACGGTTGGTATCTACAAGACCATGCACCCGACAGGACCCAAAGCGAAAGCAAAAGCAGGAGCTAAGGCCAGCGGCCCGCCCAAGGCGAAGCCGTCGGCTGGGCCGCCTCCCGCACCGCCGCCTGCTGGGCCGCCTCCCGCACCGCCCGAGCATGAGGCATCGACTAGCACCGAGCCTTTCGAAGGCAAGAGAGATAACATCAGGGTTTGGGTCATCGCCAGGACCGACCAGCAGCCGCAGAAGGAGGCAGACCGATTGATTTGCATAAAGTGGAGTCAGAAGCCCCCGCAGCTGATTCAGGTCAACATCAAGATCTTCGACAGCAAAGGGGGTTCAGCCGAGGCCAACGAGTCCCTCGCAATCAAGTGGTGCAACGGGGTTGCGGACCGCTTCTGCAAGGGCGAGCTTTCGAAGGACGACATCACGACGGAGAAGGCCAAGCTCCTGGCCGAATACGGCTTCACGGGCAAGAAGTTCGGCGCTCTGAAGCGGCCTGCTTCAGCGATTGCTCCGTCGCCACCAGCTCCGCCGAAGGCTTCTGAGGGCGCCGAGGCGCCGCCACCACCTCCGCCGAAAGCTACAGGGACCGAGGCGCCGAGCACGCCCCCCAGGCCCAAGACTAAGGCAAAGGCCACTCCTCACGCTCCAATTCCGCCACCGCCAAGCAGCGACGACGACTAGGCTTCGAGATCAGTGCCTGCGGAGAAAACATGTGTCGCCAATCCACCATCGCATGTGAAACACTGGAGGCTGATTTTGAGGAGGGATAGGAGGAGGAGGAGCAGGAGGAGGAGCACGCACTTCCATTTAGCGGAGCACGCATTTTCTTGTTTATCATCATCCTGGCGTCTCCTGGTCAGCCTGGACTTGACATTGATATGAACATTCGAGTGTCCAGGCCCTCCCCCGCACGCGCACACAGATGCACACACGCGCGCACACACACACGCACGCTCACACACACATACACACACACACGCATGCGCGCACGCACACGCTCGAACACGCACGCGCACACGCACACGCAATCGCACGCGCACACACACACACACACACACACGCACACGCGCGCATGGACTCACACACACACATACACAGATGCGGATGTGTGTATATAGATATGTGTATACAGATACACACACATATATATATAACTAAATTTCACAACGTGATGCGTTGATTCCACACGATCTTACACTAAAAGCTCCAGAAACGAAAATCGACCATTTTGGACTGAAAATGGTCGGTTTCTCTGGCGACCGAAAACCGACCCAATTGGACTGAAATGGTTCGGTTTCTCTGGCGGCCCGTTCAGGGAACATGAAAGTCGAGGCGAGGCTGGATGAGACAACTGCCATTGCGAAAACCATCTAGCAAGCTCTGACTGTACATATCACAGTGTATATATATGTATATGCAGATGTGCATGTGTATGCACAAATATAATGATACATACACACGCGCGCGTGCAAACACGTTTACACACGCACGCGCACGCGCGCACGCGCGCACATATTATACGCTGGTGGGAGGGCGTGTGCGTGAGAGAGAGAGATTGTGTGTGTGCGTGCGTGCCCTGTTCCGCCGCTACTGGTCTCGCTTGCCCCGCCGTGCCAGGACGACTTCGCTAAAGCTCTCGAGGCGGAGCTCGACCAGCAGCAGAGCGTGACCTCCGAGACACGGAACAACATCGCGGACGCGCCTTTCCGTTTTGTTTCCGTCGTTCGGGGGGGGGGGGTGATCACGGCACCTCCCGCTCCTCCACCCCTACTGGCCCTCCTCCTCCTCCCCCTCCTCCTCCCTTTCCTCCTCCCCCTCCCCCTCCTCCGTACTGGCCACGCCCCTCCTTATTGGTCTGATC